TTAGGCTTTCCGGAAAGCTCTCCCCGCTGGGAACCCTCCGGACATGAACTGGGAGCGCACTCTCAGCTTCATACCAGGGCCCAGACCCGCGGTCTGGCCCTGTCGGCGTCTCTGGACCCGCAGGTCCATTGACGTGGGCGTGGGCACGCTTGCCACGGCCCCCGTCTGGCATTTTTAATGCAAGGACACGCTTGTCTTGCAACCTTGTTTTCTACAAGGGGGGGGAACATCTCGCCCCTTGTCCTGGGTGCACCGCAGTGCCCCAGGAAAGTGCCACTTCCCAAGCAACCCGGTAAAAAGGTGTGCGCCTTGCTGTCGGCTTTTGGGTTCAGGGTTCTTTGTAGTTTGAGGCTAGGAGCAGTGCGCGGGACCTTTAACAGCAGGTCATCCTGACGGACCCGCAGCACAAAAAGCAGGTCCCGCAACACCCACTGCAAATTAGTGCAGATCCATGGCAGTCAGGTGCGGATCCATGGGCGCAGCACGTGGCCAGGAGCACGGGACATCTGCCCAAGGGTCCAGTTCCGGCGCCCAGGCAACCTGCAGGGCCAAATCAGACTCTGTCGGATGCTCAGGACACAAAGATCCAGGCGCTACAAAAGTCAGATATGCGTGAGCTGGAAAGGAAACATCTGGTATTCACCTGGCAAACCGTGCTGTCCAGCACCACGCATTTTCAGCAAAGACAACATTTAATTTTCCTATGGCGACACCCAAGGGCCATTTTACGCTGGCTTCTGCTACCGTCAGGTCGGTAGCGGCAACACCAGTCTGCTGAATGCATGCTTTAACGGAATTGTTTTTGCTTCTGTCAACCAAGCAGCCGTCCTTGCGACTCGAAAATGTCGTTTTTCAACCCCCAAATACTGTTACGTTCACCCTTGGTGGGTGGTGCGATTCGCAAATGCAGGCGGCAAACAACGCGCAACTCGCCAGCTTCAGGCTTTTACTGTTTTCCGACCCTCAAAACACGGCGGCTGTTACGTTCACCCACAGTATAAAGGACGCTGGTTTTTTGATGCTGCTGCATTTTTGTTGTTTTGTGGACTGTTTCTACGACCATTGTTGATTTCCGTGCAAAAGCGCTGGCGCGGTTGGAGCTTTTGTTTTACACGAATTCGTTTCTTTGGCATCGAGGCCTTTTAACGACTAGTTGAGGGTCATGCCTCATGGCTGTAGCTTTTTGGTTTGCCGTCCCGCTTCCTTTTTGTTTTGGCTTTCATCGCGGAACTGTTTGTTTTCTTCTTTTTAGTCCGGTTGTTGCGCCAACCATGCTTTTATTTCCTCAAAATTTGAAGATTTGTTGTGGCTTGTTTGTTTGGTTTGTGTTTTGTTGGCTTTGTGTTTGCTTTTCTATCTTCGACCTCTTCATCTGTGTCTCGCTTCGCTGAAACTAGGCCTTGGGCTGTTTTTGCACGCTCGATACGCATGCGCTGTCAAAAATAACCGATGGCCTGTAGGCCCATAAAGCGTTAATAATTAACTTGTAATAGAATAGGGTAATAAGAAGTAACGTGAAAGCGATGACATGAGCTCTATTTCTGGCTCGTCATCGCGCTTTCATGATCTATCTCTCCATTCCTTATTTTTTTTTTTACTTCCCACTCCATCCCTTCGATTGTGGGAGTTAGACAACAAAAAAATGGCTCTCATTCTACCTTCTTTTCTCAGTCTTCGTCTTTCCGGTAGTGTACATGAGATGATGAAAGAGAGGGCAGTGGACAGGGGTCAACCAGCAAGACCAGAGACATGAGAGGATGGGATTAACTCCTAGTACTCACTTCGTTCCCTCTCCAACATTGCTCAAGCTCTGAGACTTTGGAAAGAATGGACAAAGGGTGGAGGTGAAGAGACGGCTCACCACATATTTGTTCCTCCCAGGCGGGGAAATTTGAAGGATGTTTTGAAGATTTCGTGTGCTTAGACGCAGACTCTCGCAGGGCAAGAACTCAACAGCAGCCGAACAAAGTCTGCGACAAGGATGTAGAGTTGGGGTGGCTATGTTGCAGCCCTAGAGGAAGGAGTGAGGGTACTGGTGGGGCATAGCCAGGCAAGAATTCGGGCCGAACTCAAGGTCCCTCATTGCAAACCGCTGCTGTGCACGGCATGGGGTGCCCAAAAAAAAGAAAAGAAACACGCCTCACGGATTAAACTCCAAAGCTTTGTGGAGCTGTGCGCCGTGCGCCGCCCTTGCCCAGACTCCTGAGCAACCCGGATATCGAGGAACCAATTCCATTGTTGAGAGTTGTGGGTTTGTCAAGGCTGGAGCAGTGCATTTGTTTTCAATATAACGTGTATATATACTATATATATATATGTATATACAAACATTTGTGTATACATAAATTTGTGTATATATGCAAATGTGTAATTTGTTGATGTTGTTTTGTTGTTAAGAATCACGTCTATCCAGTTTGAACGAACTAATGGCTGTGAGCTCCAGATGTGCGAATGGACCCGAATGGATCATACTGGGTATATGTGGGCCGCATTTGTGAGGGGAAACATATTCAAGATCTTCTTGGCTCAGAAGCAATGTCAACATAGATGGTTATTCTCGGGCCAAATCAAGATCCATGTTTTAGCGAGGGGTAAGCTCGAAACTTTGCTTGCTAACGTTATTTGAGGGCAGGTCCTTTTTTTTTTATTCTTCATCTTCTGCATATGCTTGGACCACTTCTCAGCAGGGGCCATGGCTTTCCCGGAAGCCTTGCGATGTTTGAAGCTGACCTTGCCATTTTCGGACGTCAAGGAGCTGGTCGCTTCAGGCGTTGTGTGCCGTGATTTGTGCAGTGCGACCCAGCAGTCCGAGCTTTGGGAAGCTTTTCGCGCAACATACACTCAAGATAAATGGCAGACACGGCGCGGAACACAAGTCCAGCCGCCCGAGCGAGAAGATGGCGAAAGTGCCAAAACATATTTTGAGAGGATCTATGAAAGATACCTCTTTTTTAAAAACCAAGATGCTGTAATTTGCCAAAGATGTGGGACGTGGACATCCCTGGAGGAGGAGGCCCTTGAGTGTGAACGTTGCGTTGATACTTGGTGCGATGAGTGTGCTCCCCGCGGACCATCAAAACGTTCTGTTCCTTGCAAGGAGCCAGAGTCGTGTCGGGGCTCGCGATTGAACATGTTTCATCCGTGGATTCTGATGATTGAACACTTACTGTTGGAGTAATTAGATCGCCAACACTTTGTTCAACCCCGGGCGCCATGCTTTCAACTGCAACAGCTGCCATGCGACCTTGTGCGCCCGCTGTGAAACCCGTCACGATTGTCAGGAAGAGGATGAGGAAGAGGACGAAGGTGATGAGGCGGGGAATGAGTGATTTTGAACATCTGCCATCCGCTTGACCTCATTGTCCAACTGGCCGTTATCTGTTCGCTATTGGTCATGCATTTTCTAGTCATAGTCTGTCCAAACTTAAGGGATCCGCACTTGGGAGCCGCTATGGTGATACTGTGCAGAGCCGAAATCCTGCACCAGATTGAAACCGTGAAAAACCATTGTTTGTTGGTATTCACAGGGGAATCATCATTCCGGGTTTCCTAGGTGGTGCAGGATTTCGTCCATCCACAGTAGGACTTGCGGTGAAGAGATCACCGTCGGACAAACGCAGTGAAGGTTGCGGACGATTCTTGTGCAGCTAAGCTACCTCAATGATCCTCATGGGCCTCAATATTGCAAGCCTGTGGTGAAACTACTAGATTTTTGTCGTCAACGCAGCCAGATTCCATCCAACAGGCACCTGCATAGATGTTGGAGCCATGCACTCAAGGGTCCAACTCTGCTGGATGTTTCACACGTTTGTGTTCGGTTTAGAACGTTGCTGTGGATTTCTTTTTGACACATCCGGCCATACCGTGGTTTCATCAACATGAAGTTGTTTGGGTAGGTACCCCTTAATATGACTCTGGGACACGGGGAAGCCAGGCACCATTTTGGGGATGATGTCTCACTATTGTGACACACCCCACAAAGTCCAGTTTGAAACACTTTGCATCGACTCACAGAACCTTCTCTGGGTGCTGAGGCCATCGCGAGGCTTGATTCCGTTCACGCATCTCACACGGGATTTGGTTTGAACACGATAGACGCTGGCAAGCGGGGGGGGTTCACAAAGCAACGCCAATGCTCCAGAGCGACGTGCTCTTTGGAAGCCAGAGTATGCAGTCGCGCGCGAGATTCCCGTCATGTGACAGCCACGTGAAGCGTTCAGAAGTTGAGGATGCTGCATTGCAGTCAGAGGGTTTTCTCCTGGCATTGTTTGAGGGCATTTTTTTCTTCTCGGGCAACGAGCGCAGCTAGCCGGTCTCAGGCATGAGAGAGACACTCTTGAGCTTGGCAAGCTCAAACATTGCGTTCCGCGGTGAGCAAGGCAGGGCGTGCTCTGAAGCTGAATTGGCCAGGCTTTGTGTGTTTTTGGTTCTCAAGCTGTTTCACCGATGCACTCACAAGTCAGCCTTCTTGCAGCTTGCGTTGGATCCCCTGTTGCTGTGTCACCGTCGGGGCCGTTCCGATCGGCCGTTCCCGTCAGGCAAGCAATGCGCCTTGAGACCTCGGCATGCTGGGAAGCGACCGAAGAAATCAAGAGATGTCACTGTGCGGTCCATGTGCAGAAATTTTGAACAGCGGCTTCTGGACATTCTCATCTTCAGCTCCCTTTGAGCAGGACAGCTCATGGTGCGGTTTCATATTGGAGCCGAAACACTACACCCTCAATGCAAAACAAGGGCGCTCGCAGAAGTCGACCGCACCTGAACACAAACATTTTCCGGGCTTTCCCAAATGCAACGGATGTTGATGCAGGCGTCTTGGATCCAGTCACCGGGTGCCAAATACGTCATCTTTCAAACACACAGCGAGGAAGCAACAGGATTTCCCAGGCCCCCCTGTTTAGCACACAGAAGATCTTGACAGTTTCATGAACGCACTAGTGTGTTTTCTGGTTTCTGTTGTGTTGTTGCGGCCAACCGCGTGCTTAAAATGGTTGCTGACCATGGCCGAACCGTCCGGGCGACTGGAGACGGTTTTGGAGCCTTGGATGCGGCATGTGCGGTTTTTTTGGGTTGTTTTTTCCGGAACCCTGGAAAAGGGTTGTTTCAAAGGGAAAACAAAAAGAAGCAGCTCATTTTAAGGTGATTTTGTGCCCACAAGTCGTTGCCCGAGGCCAGATGCAAACGAATCCATCACGGCGCGGATGCTTGACCGAATCCTTTCCTTTTTTGTTTTGTTTTTTGTTTTGCTTTGTTATTGCAACCGCATGCTGTGGAGGTTCGCGAGTGAATGCGATGCCCGGTGGGCGTGCGTGTGCTATTGAGGGCATGCATTTGACCTTGGCGCAAAGGTAGGGGTGAGGGATACGGGTTCTTCGGCCGGATGCGTGAGGAAGCTTTGCCCAACTTGCCGCCGCACTTGGCGGAGAGGTTGAAGGCTTTGTACTCGAGATGCGAGAGGCCAGGCCGCTTGGAGGTCGGAAAAGTTTCTATTCCCGGAGGTTTGGTTTGTTCAGATTTTAGAGGTTCCCTGAACAATTCCATTTGGGTGGTTCGTCTTTTTTGGGAATCAGACTTCTCAAATTTGTGGTTTTCCTTTTGCAATCCCCTCAAATGCACCCTCCAAAAAAAGAAAAGAAAAGACCCATTTGGGGGAATCTGTGCTTTCAGAAGTCATGAATCCAGTTTCCCCAAGAGAAGGGTCTCCGCAAGGAATGGGGACGGCAACAGCAGTGTGGGTGTTTCTCAATCATAAGAGGCTCCTTCACGTGGTTAGACATCTACACAGCATCCTTTGATTCGCCGTGAGTCCACTTCGGCTATCATCCAACCTTCTTTGGGCCTTTTGGGGACTTTGCAGGACGTGTGCCCCTATAACCGGGTCCTTGCCAGGTTGAAACAACAGCAGCCACATCCAGACGGCTTAGTTGAAGTTTCTGAAGACGGCGACGAGCTTGGATCAGATGCGGCTCTGCAGAAGATGTCCGGAGTGCCAAACAAAGATGTAACCAAGACAATGTTGCTTCATTTTTCTTTTTTTGGCAATGCTGGTAACCGGTAGCTGTTTGGTTTACATGTAGAGGTTTTTATGTGTTCAGTGCGGTCTGCGAGTTGTCCAGGAAGACATTGCGGCGGCATTGCGTACGGGTGCTGCTGAAGGTGGAAGCTCAGCTGTCAGGGAGCATTGTATTTCTGGTGTTTGCCCCTTTTCACTCATGCTGCAAACGCTTGACTTGAGGTGTTCCTGTTTGACATGTTGATTCGTTGCCGAAGAAAGCCCGCGCCTTTCTTGCTGCTTTGACGCGGCGAAGCATCTCAGGTGAGTCGCCGAGGCTGGACAGAAATGAGTTGGACCAATTCTTTGTGGTTCCTTTTAGTTTCCCTCTATACCAAACGGGGACCTCTATTCCGAGCGTCTCGCAGAACTTTCTTGTGGTAAGAGCAGCCTTCTGGTGACGTGTTTTTTGGCTTTCCTTTTGGTTGCAAATGCGGTTCCCCTATTTTGAGACACCCCAGACGATGCCAGGTGTGCAGAACTCGCTATGTGCCTTGGCAGCTAGAGCCGACGAGAACCGGGTTTTTCTAACATCTCAACCTGTGTTTCTGACCCCTCCGTCCCACAAAGACAGGTCGGGGCTTGAGAAAGATTCGCTGAGGACGGACCCTTACATGCTTCCTGGCGAGGCGGGGCGAAAGTTGCCGTCAGGTACTCGTGTTTGGGTTGGCTTAAGGGAGAAAACCAAAAGGGCCCGGGCCAACATGCGACATCCGATTCCTCTGAAAGGCAGGCACATGTTCTCCCACAGCCAATTGGCGCGGACCTGGCGGGTTTTTGCTTCTCATGTTTTTTTTTTCTTCCTTGGCTTCCCCTTAAACCAACCCAAGGATACTGAGCCTGAACAAAAGCACCAGGGTTTTGAAGCCTCCAAATGAGTCATCATGCAGCACGACACTTCGATTTGGCGCCAGGTGGAAGCCGAAACGGTGGATGCGGACGCGCGGCTTGGATCCACCATTTTAGAACCTATTTTAGTGGTTGGATTGGGATGTTCACTTGGGGTACGGGCGTTTGACCAATGGCCACTTCAAGAGGCCTCCAAATGTGCTTGGCAACACCCATTTGGCCGGATGCGTGTGGGCAAAAGAAGCCAGGGATAGGTGCATTTTGGGTTTTTTAGGGTCCATAGCAAATTCCAGGATGTCCTCTTAATTTTCAAGTAACTTTTTGGCAGATTTTTGACCGTTGTTGAGTTGAGGCTCAACTTTTGCACCGGAGACTTTCTGCGTTCTTCGACTTTGCCGAAGCCGAGTAATCCCCGCTTTTGATTGATCAGGGGGTCGCCCCCCTTCCTCGGCTGCGATCAGTATTCCCTGAGATCTATTCCTCTGAAGCGTTTGCCGCCGGAAGGGGACGTGGAGGGCCATCCACTGGCCGTAGTAGAGGTCCCGGAGGCGGTGCTCAGGTCAGACCCGGATCCCGAGCTCGAGCCAAGCTCCGCTCCCTCGCAGGTCGCTCGGCAGGTGGGGCTCAATTCTCGGCTGGTGTACTTTTGCTGAGATCAAAGCGAAATCGATGGTTGAAAACATGGAGGGAAGGAAAGTGTTCAACCATCCCAAGGTCGTGCCAGTTGCCCCCGTCAACAATCAAGCACGGGCTATGTGCTCGGGAACAAGTCATGAGCCCTTTCACCAAGCACACCTTTTGAGTCTTAAGTCTTTTCACCTGCGTGTTGGGTAAGCCATGTTTTCCGGTTCGAGGTCTAGAAGCCCCTCCATTTTGCGGGCTTGTTCCAAACCTTTGGAGCGGGCTGTACCATCCCTTGTGTTGTGTTGATGCTCCGTGTTAGGGGTTTTTATAGACTTTTTTTGGGCGTGCCTGACACTGTTGGGGGCCCTGCAGGTGGATGGTTTCCCTTGCTATGCAAAAGGGGACCCACTTCGCAGTGCAGGTTGTGATGGCAGGTTTTCGGCTGAATGGCCGTCCTGGTGTGAACAACTGGGCCTCAGGTGGCTCAGGATGCGCCGACTGGAAGCACGCAGCAGGGCGAAGTGTGTGCAGCTCGGCGATTTGCCGCTGTAAGGAATCCGTGGCGATGTTTTGTTTCCAGGAGAGGCGATTTCCAACCTTCTTCGACCACAAGCATCAGTCAATCACAGTAGAATTGATCAGGGTTTGAGGTGGATTCCCTTCTGTGGCACTTTGTCTTCTATCATGTCATGTGCAAGTGTGGGCAGAACAGGAGTGGGAGAATGAAGACACTTCCAAGTGCCGAATCTGGCCGGGTATTGGTTTCCATCATGAGGCCTGGAACGACTTGCCCCCAGAGGCCGTGTTTGCGCTGGATCAGGCGCGGTTGAGACCTTGCAGCTGGCTTGGGGATTTTTCCTTATAAAGAGGGAACTTGTAACCCAGGACCCGTTCACAGCACACTTTGCTTCACTATGGGGGCTGCAAAGGCAACCCGGCAGATGCTTTTCGTGGGGTGGAGGTTTGGGGTTGGTCGGGTGGCTTTGGGGCTCCAGGTTTTGATCGTGATTCAGGGCCTTGCCATCACCCCCAAAAAGGTTCCCCGGATCCCAAGACTTCTTCGCACGCTGTCGCGTGTTTACCGGGCGTTTTTGAACCAGACTGCAAGCTTTGGACTCGGCTCTCAGGGGATGTGGCCTCTGAGGATTCCGGACCTGTGCACTTGAAAGAGGATTCTTTCAGACGCTTTTGGGACCCTTGAGTTTTGAGGGTGCCCCATGGGACAAACAAACCGAGTCCCCATGGCTCTTGTCGGACTCTTTCGGCAGGTGCGGTACACGGTGGAGAGGAAGCTGGGCCAGAGCCAGGGCAGCGTGGTCTATGCCATCCGCTCCGAGAAGGGCCACTCGGACGGAAGACTCGGACATCATCGGTTCGGCCGGTGTGGGAGCGGGTCTGTTTCTCTTTTTGGGCCCGGGGATCCCTTCGTGTTTTGGTGTGGTGTGTTGAAAGGGAAACCCCAAGCCCTTTCGGGTTGTTTGCCGATTTGGAGACAGACCCGTGTGTTTGTCTTTGTGGAAGCCAAGGGCAAACCATGGACGAGGCCTTTGAAGACCTCGCGAATTCGCTGGGCTGGGGTCGTTGCAAGATTGTTGGGGTCTTCTAAGCAACGCTTCTTAGGTTCTAAGCTGTGCAGCCTCTGAGACAGTACCCTTCAACAGCTCCCCCGCGAACTCATCCCGCCATGCTCTGCGGCATCCAACAGCGCCCTGCACTAAGGGTGTTGTGTAGGGTCAGGGGTGTTGTGTAGGGTGCTGTTAGAGCGACACCCAACTGCAGCTTGTATCTTCGGTTCCCTGTGAGAGGCAAAGGGTTCCTCGGCCTCGGAACAAGGAATGCACCCTCTCAAGTGGTTGGCTTCGTATTTACGATCAGCAAATGAGCCGTGGGATTGCTAGAGATGGGGCCTGGGTTACCAATTGGACCACTGAGGATTGTCCATGTGTTTCAAAAAAGACACCCAAGTTCAACAGACAGTGTCCTTTTAGCTTCCCAATACAGCCCAAAGGGATTTTCCGAGCCTAAAAAGAGAACCGCCCAGCTTGCAAGGGTTTCTGTGTCCAACTGCTTCTGCCCTTAAAGAGGTGGCAAACCTCTAGAAACCGAGAGGAAGTGTCACTTTTGGGTCGCCAGGTTTGCAATCCCAGCATCAATTCCTTTGTGGAAGCTTCCATCCTCACCTAAATGTGGTGCCCAAGACGCCCCAGGCGAAGGCTTTGTGGCCAAGATGGAGGCGCAAGGCCCTTTGGCCGCTGCCAGGCGGAAAGCGGCCGAGGGAGAACTTGGTTCGTGGCCATGGGTTGCATAATCTATGGCGCTCGCCATTTTCGGGATGAACATCCATTTGATTTCCACCTATTTTGAGGTTCACCAGGGGTTTCCTGGGTTTTGACCCACAGCCACATCAAGCTGGGTAGGACGTTTAGAACATACTTACAGTTACTTACATGTTCGAGACTCTCCAATGTCTGGGTATGGATTCAGCTGCAACATGCATGACGTGGAGATTCCTTGCTGGTTTTTTTGTAAGGAGTTTGGGTGGTCAGTAGAGGCTTGGTCAACATTTCTTGTTTTGTGTCTGGTTCAGACAATCAGGGGTATGGGCCAGCCAAATGTCAACCACTAGATTTTCCTTGTCCGCTTGAAGTTTGCCTCAAACACAGGAATCAATAATTCCAAAATGCATGGCTTCTGATGGCATGAGCACACTCGTATGTTTCACACGGAGACGTGGATGTGTTTTTGGTTCCATTGAATACCCAACCCTGAATCGGTACCCTCAAGAAGACACCCGAATGTGCCACAGCCAATTGACAGCTTGATGGGATGTCATAGAGATTTGAGACAACGAGTGGTTTGTTGTTGTTACATGAAGGGACCCATGTCCATGAGTTCTGACACGCACATATGTACACATGGGCAAACGTTCTTTATCTTGTGAAAGTACCACAGGGGATGGGTGTGGTGGGATTTCTAGGCGGTTGGCGAACAACCAACTGGAGATGGAGCAGGTCACGGTCGAGCCCTTGCCGCAAGTCCTGGTGTGTGTGTGTGTGTGTGTGTGTGTGTGTGTGTGTGTGTGTGTGTGTGTGTGTGTGTGTGTGTGTGTGTGTCTGTGTCTGTGTGTGTGTGTGTGTGTATGTGTGGGTGTGTGGGTGCTTTCCATGTCGGAATAGCCGTAGAAATTGGTGGTTGTGTGAGCTGAACAACACGGGGGTCCTTTGCCAGAGTTACAGTGGCTCGACGGGGTTCAGGACATCTTCGAGGTGACCTCCTTCGTCCAAACTTTGACCCAAGTCCTCTCAGACTTTGGGTTGAGTGAGAAAGCGCCGCTCGCTTGCAGTGCCAGCTTTTGCTTTTGGTGTCTTTTTTACGACTGCCTTGTGTCTGAATGCAACTTCTTCATTTAAGGTCGCCAGGCACCTCCAAGAAACCTCCACATTGGTGACACTGCCTTGATGCAAATATCCTTGATGCCAGAATTTTTGGGGCTCGCATAGGATCTCAATTGGTCCACAGAGCAAGGCCTGGCCCCGCCAGCCTGCCCGGTGCGCCGCCTGCAGCGCCCGAAGCCGCGCCCGCGACGCCCGAAGCCGCGCCAGGGCCCAGGCCCGAAAGCGGCCCGGCGATGCTGGTGCCAGCTGCGAACCAGCAGCCCACCTTCAAAGTGCTGCGCCTCGAAGAGATCTTCAGCCCGTCAGTGCGCGTTTCTTGAAAATGGCATCCGAATCTTCGTCCCTTTTGGGCTCGGGGTGTTTGCCATGGGGCCTTACTTGGAGGGACAAGGCGTCACCAGTTGCCAGAGAGGATCAGGAGGTATGGAACCTGGGATTTCCTGTTGCTCAGAAATGGAGGACCGAAATAATATTGTTCCTTGCTCACGTGTCCACTGGACAACCATGGCACAATGGGAGCCGCAGATGGAATTAACTCATTTCGGGGGTAGGCCACAGTGATCATGTATCTGCTGTAAGTAGGCAGGTTCTCTCAGATTCCGTTCAACGTCTCAGATCTGGTCAAGGATTTTCAATCGCTTGGATCAATTCGGTCTGAAGCGAAACACGTTCCAAGGTTCGCGTCCGAAAGACCAAGGAAGCAGGAAGGCGCGCCGGGTGTGTCTCATGGGTACCCCCCAGGCATGGACTTCTTTTTTGGTGTCCCTGCACACAAGAGGGCGATCCAAAAGACAGTCTTTTCAGGATACTTTAGGCTGAAGGACAACGGATACCAGCCATTGGAATGGAGTTCCAATCATTCGGATGTCCAATGCTTGGTTGGTTGGTTGCTTGGATGGTTGGTTGGTTGCTTGTTGGTTGCTTGCTTGGTTGGTTGGTTGGTTGCTTGGTTGGTTGGTTGGTCGGTTGCTTGGTTGGTTGGTTGGTCGGTTGCTTGGTTGGTTGGTTGGTTGGTTGGTTGCTTGGTTGGTTGGTTGGTTGGTTGGTTGGTTGGTTGGTTGGTCGGTTGCTTGGTTGGTTGGTCGGTTGCTTGGTTGGTTGGTCGGTTGCTTGGTTGGTTGGTTTTGGTTGGTTGGTTGGTTGGTTGGTTGCTTGGTTGGTTGGTTGGTTGGTTGGTCGGTTGTCTGCTTGGTTGGTCGGTTGCTTGGTTGGTTGGTTGCTTGGTTGGTTGGTTGGTTGGTTGGTTGGTCGCTTGCTTGCTTGGTTGGGCCTGCAACTTGCCTTTGCAGACGAGCAAAGCGAGTGCAGCGAGCCCGAGAATGCGACCTTGGCGCCGGCCTTCCCAAAGATGCCGGCGGGGGGGGGGGGGGCGAGCAGAAAGCGCCGGCTGTGCCGTTTGGGTGTGTGTGTGTGTGTGTGTGTTTTTATTCGATTTTTTTTTTTTTGACTTTTGAGATGGCCCGTGGAGAACAAAAGGGCCACCATCACTTTGGGAGTCTCCTCAAAAACGGCCGGTGGAGCTGGAGCAGGGGTGGTTTCTAGAAGGCTCTTAAATGGGACTCCAACCGTCTTTGTGGCAAACTATGCCAAATTTTATTAGTGTGTAAAGCTGCGGGGGGAATTCGGAGTTCATCTGAAACACTTGACATTTTGGCAGGTACCGGATTTGGAGGGGTCAATTCCAGAAAGAATGCCGTGTGTGCTATCATGTGCAGACAGGGCATATTTGAGCAAAGTTGGTTCGAGGTGGGATTTATTAGATTTTGGTGCAAGAGGGTTTAGGGTTGATTTGCTCGCTTCCCCGCAGCAAATCGGCCTTTTGAGCTTCTCACTTTGGTCTTTGGCAGATTGACCCAAAAGGAGACCGCCCATTTCCAGGGTTTGACCAAGCATTTGGAGCCCATTGTTCTGACACGTGGGTCTGTCTTTTTGTTTCGGGGACCTGTTATTGGTGTCTCTCAAAGAGAAGCCAACAGGAAACGAACGCCAGGAAACGCCATTTTGGAGCGGTGCCCCAACAAAGCCACACGCCCCCCTGCGGCCAGACTTGCAAAGCGTTGTTTTGAAGCTCTAAGGCTGGTCAAGTGCGGGATGTGTTTGGCAGTGTTTCAATTTCTGCGAGGGTTTTCTCTTCTTTTTGGGCTGCAAGTCAGAGTTTGCTGAAGTCAGGGTTGGGGCACTGGGGGGGGATTAATCATTATATGGGTGTGGCTCAAAAAAATCAAGACCCAGGGTCAACCCAGGTTTTCATCTACTTTGCCACCTGCCAGGGCTCCATTTTGGGGCCCTATGTTTGACCCGCAGCCCTACGGGCTTCCCAAAACCTTCAGCGGAGCGAGGCCTTCAGCAAGGCGAAGCCGCAGGACCCGACGGCTTTGTTTTTCCGTGGAGGGGTTTTAGGAGGAGCTTCCTGAAGCGGAAGTTCTGAGTTGGGGGCAGTGAGTCTCCAACAGAAGTCTATGGGTTATGATTTGGGGACAGTGAGCCGACATCACAATGGCATATGAGGCTCGGTCAAAGCGTCCAGTAGTGTATGGCCACTTGGGAGGACAGAGGGGACTTGCAAAATGTTCGGGGGCTCACTCATTTTCCCATGTCCTTTAGGGGAAACAAGTAACTTTGACTGTGGCTCATGTGGGTTCTTCAAAACGTTCGGTTCCCAGTTTGATGACCCAGGATTCAGAAGCCCCAACAAAACAGCTCCACATTGCACTTGGCGCGGGATGCCCATAGGCAATCAAATGTTTGGTCTCCACCTCCAGAGATAGAGCCGAATCCTGTGTAAAGCATGTGAGCCACAATCAAAACCCGGGTAGATGAAGCTTAGTAACAAATACTCCCAGCCATAAATAGCTGCGGCCGCCTTCTTGATTCTTTACATGGTTCTGGGTAGACCATTTTAATACTGGGTTTTGATTGTGACTCATGTGGGGTTGACAAAAAACAACGGACACCCCGGGGACCCCGACCCCTTTTGCTGGAAGGGAAGCTACCAGTTTACATGGAGCAGCCAGAAAGGTCGTTCCGATCGAGGCAAAGGCGAAGGGGGGGAGCGCATGTTGTTTGGCAAGTTTTGAATCTCCAGAGTTGGTTACCAGTTGGCAAGTATTCACGAGTGATTTCTTGGAGCGCTGAAAGCCTGCAGTGCATGTTTTTCGGCTGGACTCAGCCGGGGGCCCGGATATGGCCAGACGCGGTTCGGGAACTTCACCTTTTCGGAGGTTGGCTTTTTGAAGGTAGGCGAGACCTGTTTTGAGGCTCACCCGTTTTGCACAGAGAATGACGGGGAACTTGAGGCCTTTTTCAGGCGTGTCTTGGTTGGAAGCAACCTTACTTCTTGGACACTGCCCCCGAAGAGTTATTTAGTTAAGACCAATTTACTTGAGTGGGCCGGATCCAAACCTCGACCATTTTGGATGTGTGCAAGTGGAGACGGACCCAAACCCCCCTTTGGCCGTTTTGGTGGATGGTTGTTTCTGATAGGTTAAAGTGAGGCCAATTTTCATTGCCAGACTAAGCTGACCTTTTTATCTTTCGCCCTTTTGTGTCCTTCATTTTCCTGCCAACAAGCAAACAGGGCGGGGGTCTGAGGCTGGTCAAGCTTTTGCAGCTACGTGTGCAGACCCACAAAGGCAATGGGGTTTGAGCGCTCACTTGGAGCCGCGAGAGCGAGGATCCTCCCACGTTGTCCAGCCTGCTGGACAGCTATGCTGAAGAGGAGGCGCCGTCGCCCCAGGAGGTGGTGGAGCTGTCCGATCCTGAAGAGGCCGGGGCAGGAAGGGGGAGGGGTCACTTTCTGACTTTAGCAGTATGCAATGTATATAAATTATATAATTGTTTTTGACAAAGCAGTTTCTAAAACAGCTACTTTACTTGAAAGAACGAACAACTAGCAAGAAGGAGGGATTGGCAGTGCAGGATTCAAACCAAAAAAAATAGCTTCGATCAAAGCAGCAGTCTATGTTTGTTTTTTTTTTTGCATGGGGAAGACTCGTGACGTCAATCCGGGCACCTCCTTGCGAGACCTCGCCGGGGGCGGGATCTTCAGCGCCGAGGCGCCTGCGGAGGGCCCGAAGGCTCTGACGCCCTCCGGCGCCAAGGCGCGGGCGGAGGCGCGCAGAGCCAAGGCCAAGGCCGGGAGCGGGGAAAAGGCGGGTCTTGGGATGTGACTTGAGCCCGAAAGGAAACAGGTGTGTGTCTTTTTGTAGGGGAACCGCCCCCCCCCCCAAAAAAAAGAGGCAGATGTGTGTGTGTGTGTGTGTGTGTGTGTGTGTGTGTGTGTGTGTGTGTGTTTTTCTTCTTCTTTTTGGTGTCCCTTCAAAACCCTTCAAAAAGGGTTCGCTCAAAAACAGACACACCCATAAAACATCGCGCAAAGGCCAGGGCAAGCCCCTCGGATGTTCAACATAGGCAAGTAGGTGATCTCTCCGTGGTTTTGACTGGGGGTCATTGGGAGTAGCTTCTTTGCCAGGGCTATGAATTGATGTGTCGTGGGCTGAACATCTGAGTGGGGGTTTGGTAGCGGAGAAGCCTCTGAAGCCCTTTCTGAGCACATTGGATATGCATAAATGAATAGATGGATGGATGGGATGGGATGGGGGGGGATGGGATGGGACGGGAGACAGACAGATAGATGGTCTGTTTCCAGTCATGCCCTTTGAACACCAGAAAAAGGTCATTATTTTGAGACACACACACACACATGGCGCCACGTGTGTATGTGTGTGTGTGTGTGCGCGCGTGCGTGTGCCTGTGCGTGTTCATGTGCGTGTCCGTGTGCGTGTGCGTGTGCGCGTGCGCATGCGTGTGCGCGTGCGCGTGCGCGTGTGTGCGTGCGCGTGTGCGCGTGCGTGTGCGTGTGACGTGTGCGTGTGCGTGTTCGTGTGCGTGTGCGTGTGCGTGCGCGTGCGTGCGCGCGCGTGTGTGTGTGTGTGTGTGTGCCTGTGCGTGCGCGAGCGCCGTGTGTGTGTGTGTGTGTGTGCGCGTGTGTTTGTGTGTGTGTGTGTGTGTGTGTGTGTGTGTGTGTGTCTGTGTCTGTGTCTGTGTCTGTGTCTGCGTCTGCGTCTGTGTCTGTGTCTGTGTCTGTGTCTGTGTCTGTGTCTGTGTGCTGGTGCGTGTGCGTGCGTGCGTGCGTGCGTGCGTGCGTGCGTGCGTGCGTGCGTGCGTGCGTGCGTGCGTTCGTGTGTGTGTGCGTGTGTATGTGTGTGTGCGCGCGCGTGTGTGTGCGCGCGTGCGCGCGTGCGTGCGTGCGTGCGTGCGTGCGTGCGTGCGTGCGTGCGTGCGTGCGTGCGTGCGCCCGTGCGTGCGTGCGCGCGTGCGCGCGTGGGTGGGTGGGTGGGTGGGTGGGTGGGTGGGTGGGTGGGTGGGTGGGGGGGTGGGTGGGTGTGTGTGGGTGTGTGGGTGTGTGGGTGTGTGTGTGTGTGTGTGTGTTTGTGTGTTTGTGTGTTTGTGTGTTTGTGTGTTTGTGTGTTTGTGTGTTTGTGTGTGTGTGCGCGAGTGTGTGTGTGTGTGTGTGTGTGTTTGTGTGTGTGCGCGTGTGTGTGTGTGTGTGTCAAAACCAGCTTGGATGGTATTATGTTTTCTTCCCGTTTGAAGCCGTTGTGACACTCCACCATTCTCCATTTGCCTTTGTGGATCCTCCAAAAGTGGCAGTTTCAAAGAACGCCACCAGTAAATTGCAACTTTTGCAGGTTGATTCCAGTGAGCCCTGATTTATCCTCAACCGCCCGAAGTCCCAACCCTTTGAAAGGGACCCCATAAGCCACTTGCCGCTTTCAGTTTGCATCGATCCGGGTTGCATGGACAGATTTGCGGTTTGGGGGTCAACGGCCCATGCGGATCGGCCAAGGGCGTCTTGTCTTGGCTGTTTTCGATGCAGTCGGTGGCAATCATTTGCATGTCATCCGCATGTTTTTGCGCAGGCGCATGTCGAGGAAGAGTCCGTTTTCGACGATGTTTTGCCCGAAGTGGTAGTAGAAGCGCCGGCCGAAGGAGCTTTTGGGCGAGATCTAAACCGGACCCCAAGCCTCCCTCAGAAGCTCTTGCTTGGGGGGGGGGCAGGTTTTTTTATCTTCTTTTTTTCCAGGGAACCCAGAAGGAACACTCAAGCCATTTTGAAGGTTCCCCAAAAAGAAGTTTCCCCCATTTGACAGGTCCTTTCCTGCGGACCCGCCGGTCTTGCGTCCGTCGGCACAGGTTTGGATTGGCAGTTCGGGGATTTCACCCCCTCCCTCAAAGAAAACAGCTCCAGACTGGAATCCCTATCTTGAGACGGGATGCCAATCTCCAAACCAGGCATCAACGGGGTTTCCTCCACTTCCCTTTTTTGGATTCTCCAAAGCGGGCATCGCTTCAAGGGAAGCCACCGGTAAACCGATGAACTTTTGCTTTGGGGACATGTGACCCTTCTGAGCCCTTGGCTCAGGAGCAAGTCTCACTTGGGACCCTGCCACTGGGCAGTTTCGTCAGGAGGAGACCCTCGGCTCGCGAGAGTCAGGAAGGTTCGGCGAAACCGGGGCTTCAGCTTTCTCGAGGGAGCCATGAAGGTCTGGGGGTTTTCGAACAATTGTGGAATTTGCAGGTCAGCGATTTTCCAACGGTTCAAGTAGCTCCTTGCCGATTCTCCTTTGCAAAATCGGCAGGAGCTTGAAAGCTGAAGACGCCTTTGAAGCTGAACTCTACGATGAACATGGCAAAAGGAGATTCCGATCCTGAAAGTAGTGTTTTGTTCCAGCCCCAACGGCTGTTTCTCGGACAGCGCTTGAGGTTTTGGAGATGTGCGGGGCCTTTTCGGGGGATGAACAACTTAGTGGTTCTCAGCAGGGAAGGAGAATTGGAACGACCCCATATAAACTATCCATGCCTATGTTGTTTTAGGGAATCCCCCAAACCAGTGTCTTTCCCTACCTATCGCAGCAGCAAGAAAACGGCGGCTCAGGATCCCTGCAGAGATCGTGGAGGAGTTTCGGCGCAAGCCGGACTTTAACCTGGAGGCTGGTTTTGTCTTCAAGTGGGCCGTGCTCTCCCCTTTTTTGTTGCTATGCCATGTTTGGGGTGGTTTAGAGGGAAGTAAAGGGATTCATGTTGAGCGGGTTCCCCTCTATCTTGACACATACCCAAATAGTTCAAACAGTTATAAAGTACCTGCGCAAAGAGTCTTTTTGGGAATTGTTTGGGTTCCATGTGAATTGGGGGGAGGGTAATACTAGAAGGGCCTCAATAGGTGGAGTTACTTACACCGGCGAAATCAGATGGCACATTTCGGGATATCGCCATTTTCTTCAGGGGGCAAGCAATACAATGCCAAAGCCCTGTCGACCCTGTCGGCTTTGTTTCTCGCGGGTGAACCCCCCAATGGTTGCTTTCTCTTTCGATTTCTTTTCAAGCCAACCACCAGTTGTCTCAAGAAAGACGGACCAAGTTTTAAGTCTTTTCGACTTTAAGGTCGTCTCAAACCCGAGGGTTTTCCTCAAAAGAGGCCCGGTTTGAGTCTGCCTGTGGGGTAGCGAAATGGATCCCTCACGGGGTGCGTCAGGACTACCAGGAGCGGGTCTTGATGGCCCAGCTGCAGGAGAAGAAGAGACGGCTGCAGCGGTTTGGCACGGAATGCGCGGTTGTTGGCACGGAATGCGTGCCCGGAGTAGACATCCAATTGTGGGGCTCGGGTTTGTCGAGTGCCTTTTTTTGGGGTTTAGTCAAAGGGAAACCTCATTTTGGGGATCCCTGATGTTTACGTACCATGACGTTCCCCAATGTTACCCCCCCCCCTTTTTGCAATGGACGTGGTGCAATTGGCACGAAAACTAGCGGGTCCCAAAAGTGATCTGGAGAACTTTTCAAGCTACTCACTTTGAGGGACCCAGTTGTGTGATCAAAAGTCCTTGTCCCAATGAAGTACATCTCAGCTGAAAAAGGCCGAAGGACAACGATTCGGTTTGCCAACTTATTGCTTGTTATTCACGTTGGACACACTGGCCATGAATTTGAATGCAGAATGTCCCAAAACAGAGTTTGGATGTAAGTCTCGGTGTAAATGATGCCCACCACATGGTCCCCGGTTAAGATTCATACTCCCCCGGAGACAACACATGGAACCCCAACAGACCAACCCTTTTACAGGAATCTCCCAAGCGGGGTTCCAGGCTAATCAGGGAGGTGGTTGGTGATTGGTGGTCCAAATTAGTGGCCCTTTTTGGCACTCAAAGGATGCCGCAAGGTGGCAGGGTCCGAAAAAGGAGCTTTTTGACAAAACCCCATTTAGGTGGCTTTCCACTCTGAAGGCAGCAGCAAGAAGAAAGAGAGCGGCGGCGGCGGCGGCTGGAGGACGAATCATCCAAGAAGCTCGGAGGGGGATGGGGGGCCGGGTAAAGAGAGTGTTGGGTCACGGAAGGGCAAAGGTGTCTGAGAGTCACGACACGCCGGCTGAGTTGCCGGAGTTTGCCAGGAAAGCGTTTGATATCATCATCTTTCTCTCCTGATACCTTTTTGGATGGGAAATACCCAAGGATGTAAGCCTGGGGCAAACCGCAGGCTTAGTCTCTGTTTCCATTTACCAGGGTGCCATTTTGGGTGCCATTTTGGGTGCTATTTTGGGTGCTATTTTGGGTGCTATTTTGGGTGCTATTTTGGGTGCTATTTTGGGTGCTATTTTGGAGCCTCAGCCATTTCAGATACCTGTTTGTACGGGAAAGCCCAAGGCACCGCACGTTTGAGTTTTTTTTTTCAGAGGCGGAACACGTCATTCGGACCTACCTACCAGGAGGAAGCGCAGCGGCGTGAGCGTGTGATGGCCAACGCGCTGGCTTCATACGTGCAGGAGAGCGTGGGAGCACGGGTCCAAAGATCTCTCCCTCTGGGTCATTTGAGCATCGCCTTTTGGACGCTTTGGGTCATTTGAACATCAGCTTGGCTCATTCGAGTATCGCTTTTTGGGCCCTTTAGAGTGGTTTGAGTTTTGGGCCAATTTGATTTGAGTTCCTCTTGTGGGTGATGTTTAACATGTGAGGAACCCAGACAAGTCTGGTTTTTGTTTTGTGCCAAGAATGATGGAAGTGAGCTGGAGGCTCGTTTCGCAGTAGTCTTTGGAAAGTGGCCGAAATCCTGCCGGTCCACCTCCATGTACTTCACGGATCGGGAAAAACCGAAAAAGGGAGCTGGTCCAGATAGGGGGGGAGCAAGCTTGGGGCCGGTGTGAAGAGAAAAGTAAAGAGTTGCCAACATGTTGCTCCTATGATCATGACTTGTTCAAAGTCCCCCCGAAAGCAGCAACAACAACAAAACCAGAAACACAACAACCTCATTTTGCTATGGTTTAGGCCCTCAATCTCGCAAAGGGCGGAAAAACGGTGGGCATTCCATTTGTGACCCCAGGAGGCGGTGCCTTTAAGCACTCCGCCGGATCCCGGCGAAGCGGCGATGGAGCCGGTCGAGCCGAAGCCGCCTGAGCCGCCGCAGCCGCCGCAAGACCCGCAGCTGCAGACGCAACTTCTGCAGGACAGCGAAGAGTCGAAGCGGCTTCGTGTCGCGGGAAGCCGCGGGTTTCTTTGCTTCAAAGGGAACGCCACAAGGAAGCCACCCATTTTTGGGGTGTGGCCCTAATTTGACACATACCCAAAGGGTTTCTTTCAACTCCGTCGGCCCAAATCCCGTCATGCCACCCTGCTCATTTGGTCCCATGCTTGTGGCATGTTTCTGATGTGCCACCATGGTCTGTTTCTCTTCAGTGGCGTTTTACCCTGTACGACTCTTTTCCGCCAGCTTACAGCTTTGGGTTGGCATGTTTGCTTTCGGGAGCTTGTGAGCACCAGCCAGACCACTTTTCGGCGGCCGAAAATCGCCCCCTCCGCAGGCGCACGCGCTGCAACTCCACGCCTGGGGCCAGCTGCAAGCGCAGCAGCTCGCCGCGTGGGCGCTGCTGCAGTCCAGGCGAGGTCTTTGAGGATCCTCGTGGGGGGCGGGGGTCCAGAAATTTCTGGGTGAATTACGACCTCACACGACCGAATTCACCCAAAATTGTGGTTTATGTGGGGAATAGCCCCCAAGCCACCTTATTTTAGGCTGGTGAAATATTATAATTCACCCAGACAAATTGGGAAGCCTCAAAACTGCCGCAGACTTGGAGCTCAAGGCCTGCAGTGGGTTTCCTTGAGTGGCCAGATGGCCAGTTGGGAGGCCGCCCAAAGAAAGTGGGTGGAGTCCTGGCGCCATCCAAGTTGGAACCTTTGGTGGACAGAGGGTTTCAAAGGCATCATGCTGATGAATCCCTGCTGATGAATCCCTGCTGATCGCCCCTGCTGAAATCAACTCTTGATGAATTCTTCTACGGGGAACCAGCTTTTGTGGGCATGGGTTCAGCCTAATCGAGCTTCAATGCGACCCTTTGCAGCACCAGGGACCTACACATTCGGCCTAAGGCTTCCCCAAACTCCAAAGTTTTCACCAACTACTGGGAATTTACGCGGTCCCTCATGCGATTGGGCCCTCCAGCCCCTTATAGATGAGTTTCTTGCGATGTTACAAGGAACCTAATAAGGACCCAAGGAACTACCGAAAGTTCGGTTTACCTAAGGGAAGGTGAGTCGGATCCAACCAGAAATCAGTCCCTATCACTTGTTGGGCCAATCGCGGTTTCTTCTTGTGTGTAGGGCAGCGAAGTATAGTGAGAGCTTTGTGCTCTCTTTGTCTCACTGCATCGATGTGCAGGGATCCAGCCGCAGCCGGTGCGTGTGGAGCTTACCAGCCACAGCCACACTGATCGCGTCGTCGCTTGTTTCCATCATTCATGCACGGAGGTGGCTCCCTGTTAAATTCCATAGCCAGATGGGCCTTACTGTACCCCCCCAAAAAAAGGAAGTCGACTTGCTGTGACTTTCTGCCACTCGCTTCTTCTTTCCCAAGCTGGGCTCTGCATCGATTGGTCCCCCCAAAGGCGGATGAGCCCTGCCAGGGGACCTTCCAAAGTGAGCGAGGACAACATGTGCGGTTCGTCGTGATGGTTTTTTGCGCCCATTTGGGCAGTGCCCGAAGTTTTCGTTGGTGTCAGGGGTTCTGCTTGATTGTTTCAGGGTTACAGCAAGGCCTATATGGACATCGCTGTGGAATTTCATAGGGAATCTCACGAGGTGGGCGCATGAATCTCCTACTGCAATTAGATTCCGCACTTGCATAATAGACAACCCGGATGAATAATCCCCCAGTTGGTTGATAGGGGGTTTAGCCGGGGGCTGAGGTCGCCCTTGGCGCAGCACCTCGGCCTCGCCGCGCAGATCCACGCGTGGATGGCAGGAGCTTCGAGCTTCGGGGCGCTCCCCCGCGCAAGAGGTTCAAGGAAAAACCGCAGAAATGGAGCCCAAATGGACTGATATTTGGGGCACAGTGTGGTTGGGGGGTCACACATTGGAAGATCACCGCTTGCATGAACAAACATGTTTTGGATGCACCGGAAAGCAGGGACCATTTTTGGATTGACCACGAGCTTTTGGTGAGTTTGTCATTGTTCTCAACATGCTTTGCTGCAGGCGCCTACTCCAGTCAGTGACCTCGGCGCCGACTCGAGTCTCAGCGCACTGGCGCTCGCGCGCGCGCGGATCGCGCGCGGATCCGAGCGACGCCGACACCCCAGCTGCGGGTCACGGACGACGCCCGACATCGCAGGAAGGGCTTTGGGCTCGGCGCTTGGCACAGAAGCGCCGGTGGACTCACGATGCTCCAGGTCCGTGCAGGAAGACTTGGAGAGAATCCGGCGGGGAAAAAGAGAAGGAGAGAGACAGAGAGAGAGATGGAAGCGACCTGTGGAGGGAGCCAAGCAGCCAGGGATGCCATGGAGGGAGCTAGATGCGTGGTGAAGGTTGCTGGTTTCTTTTGAGACTGGGGAGAGCAAGGAATGTTTGCCTCGCCTTTGATAGATGCGGGGTCTGTCTCAAACTAGGAGGACTCCTTTACGGATGTCTTCAAAGGGAAACCAAACAGGAAACTACCACCTGGGGCCCAGATGTAGCGCCATGAGGGCCTGACTCCAGTTTGTCCGGCCTTCTGCGTGCCCGGCTTCTGAATCTGAAAATGGAGGACCCCGTTTTGGTCAGTATGTAAAGGGAGGCGAAAAGAACACCGACCATTGTAAGAGGCCTCCATTTTGAGACAAACCCATTTCTTGTGCAAGAACCAACATTGCAGCACCATCGCCATCTAGGGATTTTCCGCTCCGTATCTGTTCTTCGGAGGCTCGGCGAACAGATGGCACGGCATTTCTGCAGTTGCGGAGGTGCTTGTTTCCTCTCGGATGTTCAGCCCACTTTTAGGTTGTAATCCTGGTCATAACTGGTGTAACCCCAGTTGCTTCCGCGGCACCCCCACCCCCCTAAAATCAAGGCTTTAGTCGCCGGCGGCAGCCCTTTTTTTCGGCTCGACGGGGGCGGGGCGACTTTTGGGGCATCATGGCTGATAGGCCGGGTTTGAACGGGCGGCACCGGGCATCTTTTTGTAGCGTTTCCTTTCTCTGTCGCAGATACGGAGCCCAAGAAGAAGGTCCACCAAATCGGAGGCGATCGAACCAGGGTTGCTTTTGGGGTTCCATCTTCTGCGGAGCAACGTTTTGGAACATGACCGGTTCTCCGCCGGCCAGGCCGCATGTGAGATTTGAATCCCTGGCTCATTGCTTCACGTTGAGGTTTGTCTCTGGGATTGTGGAACTCTTGAGATGGGCTTCGGGTTCCCTTTTGGGTGATTTTTTTGGGAGGCTACTCCGTTTTGTGGCGTTTTTTTTTTTTTTTAATCCAAAAGGAGAAACACCCAAAACACCAAAAAAACACCAACATGGGTTTTTCAGGGAATCCATTTGGTTAGGGGCACCCCAAAAAAGACACATCCACATTTGGACTTGGTTTCATTCGGGGGCTCCCCTCTCCAATTCCAGGGTTCCTCCTCACTTCCCGAGTTCCGTTTCGGACTTTCGTCACTGGTTGGGCTTGGACCAGCTTAGAGGCAGAAGTTCAGACTTTATTTTTGGGCCATCCACCCAGGAGCCGAGATTCGAGTTGGTTTCTTTATTCGGCTCAGTCATCCAAGGGAAACCACCGCGACCCGAGTTTATTATTATTATTTATTATTATTACTTATTATGATTAGTATTATTATTATTATTTATTATTATTATTATTAATTATTATTATTATTATTTTGTTATTATTATTATTATTTATTATTATTATTATTATTAGTATTATTATTATTATTATTATTATTAATTATTATTATTATTATTATTATTATTATTATTATTATTATTATTATTATTATTATTATTATTATTAATTATTATTAATTATTATTAATTATTATTATTATTATTATTATTATTATTATTATTATTATTATTATTATTATTATTATTGTTATTATTTTTGTTATTAATTATTATTAATTATTATTATTATTATTATTGTTATTATTGTTATTATTATTACTATTATTATTATCATTCTTATTATTATTATTATTGTTATTATTATTATTGTTATTATTATTATTTGTTATTTATTTATAACAACACATGAGAAGCCCTCAGAATGTAGCCGCACGTATATAGCACGGCTGCTGCATTTTTTTCCAGCAACTCAGTGACGGAATACTGCTCGCAATCAAGTGGCAAAAGTAGTTGTCAACCAGAATACGATAGTCTCAGCCCATATTTTGCAGGGATGCCTCTAAAGGATCATGCGTTTTTGGGACGGATGACACCCTGTGATAAACGCCATAAAACCACATGCAAGGTAGTAGCCCCTATGTGGTTCTAAGCGGACGAACCAGAGAGACCCCAGTCACAACCTGGTTACTCACTCCTCACTCGCTGGCTCACTTGCGCTCTGTAGGACTCCCAGAGCTGCGGTTCGCAGGCTCCTTCTTAGGTTAGTTTGGTGAAAAGTAGATGGCACTGGTTTAGATGGGCTTCATTCCATCTATTTTTCCAGAAGGACCACCTATGTTCGCAGGCGCTCCCGGCGGATGCGCTCGGCCGCGGTGCTCTCCTGCCTGGCGACCGAGAGAGCGGGAAACTGCACACGGCTTGGGGTTGGCGGAACCGAGATTTGTGGAAAGGGGTGGGTGAAGTCGGGGGGAGTGGTCTGGTTGAGCTTGGTTGCTCTTGCGGGATGAGCCCGAGGTCGGTGAGGGAATTGAACCTGGTGAACCGGGTTGCTGAAGAGCCATTTCCAAAGGATTGAAATCAAAACACGCGTTGGTGGAAAGCGGCGGCTTCTTACGTTTTCTTTGCGTGGAATTGGCAGGTGTGATCTTAAGAAAAGCCCAGCTTTCTGATGTCCTCGTTGAAGCACGAGCACATCACTGAAGCCACAGGCACCCGACCGCCTCGCTTTGACTGACATAGAACGGGTGTCCTCCATTTCCCTTTTTGGAACCTCCCAAAGTGGCAGTCCCAATGGAAAGCACGCGTAAACATGCAACTTTTGACGGGGAAATCCAGTGACCCCGCAGTCTCGGAGAAACAGCACCCACACATATTTTGACTTATTCGACATGGGCAAGCCATATCCCCAATGGGAGACTCCACGAAACCAGTAGACGCCAAACCGGCATTGAGCCAACCTCCTGTAGAATCGTAGGAAGACAATGAAACAAGCACACATTTGGCTTTGGGTCAACACCCTGGTACCCCCCTACCCCTGAGATTCCCTTTCAAAATGAACCAAACAAAACGGGGGGTTACTCAAAAACGGATATCTGGGTTTTGACCCACACCCATTTGAACACTTCACAGTACGGACCAAAGGCAACGCGGTTCGAAGCTGCTCTCTCCGACCAAAGCCCTGCGCTTGGCTCCGAGGTGGTGCTGCAGCGTCCGCCTTTGTGCTGCCAGGCGCAACGACGAGACCTATGCCAGCGGCCTGTCACTGGCAACCAACATGTTGGGTACATTGCCAAAAAGGAGATTCCCTGGACGTGAGTCCACTTGTCTCCATGCCGAGAAAGTGACGTCACCCCAGAAGGTTTTGGCGAATTTGAAAGGGTGGAGCGATTTTTTTCGTGGTTCGGGCAGGGGCCCCGAATTCGATTCCTTGGCACCTGCTGGGTTAAATTGTGTGCAACTTTTGGGCGGGGAAAGCATTGGATCAATTTCGGATGGGCGTCACGGATTGTTCAGCGACTTGGAGTCCCGTCTGAACTCTTGGATGAATTCCCCACGGGACCAACTTTGGCCACTAGGGGGGGCTGAGTTGGCACAGGATGGTTCAACAAGCTTGGGATTTTTGACGCGGCTTTGCAGGCTTTTCAGTGTCCGGCAAGCCAGCCAATGCTGGTGAGGCCTGGGGGGGGGGCGGAGTGGGCAACTCAAAATACAGCCCCCCGCAAGCAGATAAGCATCCCAAAAGCATCATGTTCAGAGGAATCTGCTTTTGGTTCCTTCCGTTAGATTTCGTAGGGGTAGGTCTCGAAATTTGGGTTTCGGTCATCGGAGCCATGTTTTCAAGAGCGGGACTCGAGGCAAATGCGAAAACGGTCCTAGCCTCCGTAACCTCCCAAACACTGCTCAAGATGTTTCTGGCTTTCCAGACCCGCGGCGGGCTGACCGGGAGAAGGTGCAAGGCTTGGAAGCTTGGAGGCATCCTTTTCGATCTCAAGAAGAGGTCCCTGGACCTTCCCCAAGTGAGTTCGGGGACAAGTGGGTTCCATGTAAAGGGGAGCAACAAAAAGTTCGGCGGCTGAGGTTGCCATCCCGACCGAATCAAGTCTGATGGATTCCCGAAAAGAGCCTTCCCAAGGACAACCGGATATAGCTGTGGGTCAAAACGAATGGTACCAATTTGGGATAGGTGCACCACCCATTTTAGGCTTCCTATTTTTGTGGGCATTGGGATGTTCACTGGGGGTACGGGGTTTTGACCCATATATCATCTTGCTGTAGGTCGAATGGAACCTTAGGCATGGAGGGCCTCATGCCTCGAACATGCGCCGAGAACGCCAAGACCGCCCAGGCCTCCGCACCGGTGCCGTCTATGACGCCCCCGGTGCCCGAAGCCCAGTCGGGCAGTGGATGATTTAGCCCTTCGGTTCCCTTGGGTGGGTGAAAATGAAAAACCACCAGGAACTGGATGCGCAGGTTTTGGCTCATGTCTCCTCTTGCCAGGGTTCTAGCTTGGGGTGTAACCCCGATTTTGGACCAGCCGTTTCTGATCAAGAAGCTGCTCCACGGCTGTTCTTGCCCTCAGAACGTTGACTGACCCGGGTGAGCCACGATCAAGACCGCCCCGGGCTTGTGCAGGTGAGAAGTTGTGACGGTTCTGCCCAACATGTGCCGCAAGTTTTGGCCCTTTTCTTCGACAACGGTTTCGGGTAGACCCTTTTCATGCGGAATGAATGGTGACGGTAAGACGAAGGGAACGATGCCATGGGCACGAGCCCTGGAGCTCATTCAAGTGGAAGTGGGCATGTGGGCGGGTTCATGCGAGCAGCGAACACCCCATGTGGGCCATTTTAGTAGGTGGTTGATGTGGTTTCTAGTGAGGCCCGCATGAACCGTTACAACCATCTTGGTAGAACCAGATGTCAATGGGTTTTGGGCACGCGTGGGAATTGTTCGACAATGGAACCAGGGGCAGGGCTGTGAGGTTAAGGGCACCGTCGCCCGGAAAGCGACGAGTTTGCTCGTCATTTTCAACCACTGACAGAGTGGCTGTCAATTCCCTGCACTGGAAAGGGGTCCAACTGGTTTTGACACGGCCATGCCAACTTGGTCCCAAACAACTTGGCTCCATAGTTTGAGGGGAAGCCAAAGATAGCCAAAGCACATGTTTTTCTGGCGTTCCACAGGCTTTCTTTCTGAGTTTAGTTTCGCATAGCTTCCCACCTACAGACCGCAGCGAGCCTTCCAAGGATTGCACGAAAAGAGGCACAAGACTGGGGGATCAGGGCCAAACTTGCGACATGAACAAAAAAGGCCCAGGCGTTAAACATGCCTAGATCAAGGTTTTTTTTGCGCCCGTTTTTTTTCTTCCTTGGACGGGGGTGGCAGAAATGGGTGGGCAGGGTAGGGTCACCCGACTCAGGTCCCGGATGGGGATGCCCCTGGCCGCTTCCGTGGTGGGCTTGGCCGTGGCCATGCGCAAGAGGCGGCGGCGGTTTGCCAGCAGCAAGGGTTTGGGGTCGTTGCCAGTTGGGGCTGTGGTGGTCAAAACTGTTTTGGGATCCCATTTTGGGTGGTAGGTGAGTTCACCACCCATTTCAGGCTTCCTATTTTAGTGGGGATTGGGATGTTCACTGGGGGTACGGAATTTTGACCCATGGCCAGTTGAGGTTCGAGGGATTTACGACAACCGAACCAACCAGTTGGACTTGTCGAGGTGAGGATTTATGACAGAACAAACAGAGCAAGTTGGCCAATTTGAGGTTGGCACGACAAATGGGCCTTTTTAATGAGAGTTGCAAGTTGGACTTGAAGCAAGGGATCAATCAACCAATGCTACCACCCTATATTTAAACCTCAAGTAGATCCTGGCAACTCCTAGTCAAGGCGTCTTGTTTTGAGCACCTGTTCGATTTCCCTGCAGTTTGGCATGGCGGCATGGATCATGGAACCCCCGCACAAAGAAACCCGTCATATCTAGAGAGCAACTTGAGCCTCCTTGGGCTCCTTCCCGCGAATTTCCAGGGGAGTCCTCCCCAAACCCTGTGGCTTTTGGGGATTGCTGCGCCAGGAATGCTGGCCGGGGGCTCAGAGGCTCGTGACTTGCCCAGCGCTCGATTTGTGTAAGCCCCCGAGAGCGACAGAGCCAAGCGGTTCTCAAGTCTGCCATAGTGAAACGAACGTAAGCTCGGTGCTGGGTTCTCAAGTCTAGCTTAGTTGCAGGAACATAAGCCCGGTGCTCAAGTGGTTGGCTACGAGTTTCAGAATTCAGAACCAGCGAACGGGCCTCTCCGGGAAGTCCACGTGTTCCCAAAGCCCATCTGGGCCGTTGGGCCCTTCGTGTGGCCGTTCCCCCGCGCAAAGTGATCATCGTAGGTTGCAGTGCGGCGAGTTTCCAAAGGTCATCACATATGCACAGGTTGCTTAGGGCTCGCATTTTTGCAGGGCACAGCTCAAACACCATGCTAAGTGCTGCAACATCAGCTGAAGCTTCGCATATTTGCAGCGGTTTCAAACAGAGGTCCGTGTTGAACCGCCCATGGTCATCAACCCCTTGAAGGGAGTTTGGATACACCGGTGTACGAGTTCCAAGTAAGAAGACCATGAAGCAAGGGCTCTGTCCAAGCCGTCGTGGAATCCCCCTTTCTTACAAACTGACAGTGGCTTGAGACTTAGACCCCAAAAAACCTCGGCCCCCTTGGCGACCAAAAGGGCCTCCACCCCGACGCCGTGTGTCGCTTCCCAGGCGCTGTGGCGCGGAAAGGCCTCTTCGACGGCATGGAGGCCGAAAGCGATCTTTCGATCGGCCAGAGGACCGTTTCTTTTTGTTTTTTTCTTCGGAGGGCCCCCCCCCTCCTGTTGGTTTGTGTTTCTTTGTTTAGGAAATGAAAGGAAGAAGCCGAGCTCCTTTTTAGGGGTCGATAAACAGTAAACGACCCTTGTTTCTGGGTGACTCGGATGTTGACTCGCAGGGGGAAACAAAGAATGACTTTTATCCAATTCATCAGTGCGGATTTTGGCATGAGCTTCGGTCACTTGCCGTCGGGCGCACAAGACCCAATACACCATTTGGAAATGCGTTGGGGATTGAAGATTGAGCACGGCTCACCTCACGTCAAAGTGTCCTGATTTGTCTGGCCAGTTTGGGAGGGACATCACTCAATGGCCTGCAAAAAGTTCAAAGGACGCGAGGGCAGACCTGTGGAGGTCTGGGCAAGTTTGGGCATTTGGGGTGGCCTTAAAACGGGGGAGCCCCTCACAAATGTGTGTTTTCCTTGTGGCTTCCTTTTCAATCGGCCCCGGGCTCGGGTTGGGGGGGGGGTACCAGAAACCTCAAACGAAACGATTTTCGGTGGGTTGAAAACCCAAAAAGGGGGGGTTCAACGCAGCCGGTCAAAGGGCACCAAGCCCCTTAAGTGGGGACGACTGAACGAGTTTTCCAGATGCCACCCAGCTTGCTGGGGGTTGTGGTAACACCTCGGTCGCCATGGCAGAAACCAAATTCAGCCCGGTTGGGCACTGCTGGTTGCTCTTCGAACCCAACGAACCTTTGAACTTGGAAGTGAACAAGCGCTTCCGCACTGGCTTGCCAGTTGATGTAAGGTGCTGAACGATCCTGACGTCGTGTTCATGACTTAGTTCAGTTTTAAAGTACCGCACAACCTTATTCTAGGTTATTCTCCCATATGTTGTAAAGTCCCTCGAATGGAATCCATCACTACTGGACAATTTTTCCCCAGATAGCTGAAAGCTATAGGGGTTCTAATTCCCCAGATAGCTGAAAGCTATAGGGGTTCTAACTTCTAGTAAAGAGGGGAACATGCAGTTTGGGGTGCTGGTGTAGTGCTTATGGCAGTGCGGGCGCATGTTTTAGAGATTGGCGGCAGGGTGCTAGGGGGCATGCAGTTTGGGGTGCTCGTGCAGGTTCTGTTTTGGGAGGTGACGGTGTTGCAGGTGGTGTTTTGGGATGCTGTTTGGCTTGATTTACGCGAGACAGCTGGGTGCTTTGGGGTGCTGGTTGGGGTGCTTTTCAGGGTGACGGTGCAGGCGCATTCTTGCGAGATTGACGGCAGGGCGCAGGGGGGCATGCGGTTTGGGGTGCTGGTGCAGGTGCTGTGTTGGGATGCTGCTTGGGGTCCTGTTGGAGGATGCTAGTGACGGCGCGGGCGCATTTTGCTCGATTGACGGACGGGTGCTGTTTGGGGCGCTTGTCGGGGGGTGCTGTTGGGAGGTGCTGGTGTGCAATCATTGCTATTTGGGGTGTATGCAAATGGACTCGAGCAAATGGACGGGGACTCAAGCAAATGGACGGGGACTCCAGCAAATAGAAAAACTCAAGCAAATGGAAGGGGACTCAAGCAATGGTCTGCGTATTTATTATGTTTTGTTTCAGGGGACTCAAGCAAATGGAAGTATCTTGGACGCGTCAAGGCATGCGCCTTGCCCTCCAGGCTGGCTTGGAGCGGAAGCTGCAGGAACAGCTGCAGAGGCCGAATCGGGGCGGTCGGGGCTTTGCCTGCTTTTCCGGTCGTTTTGTGTTTTTGGTTTGGGTTGGAGTTGGTGGAAGCCAAAAGAACATCCTAGGTTGCTTTTGTGGTGATGTGGTCATTTGTGGTGTGGTATGTGTTTTTGTTCTTTTATCTCATTGCAGGTCACTCTTGCGTGCTTGTGTTTGGAAACCGGGGACTCGAATTCGCGTTCCTCTTGATTTACCCATTGGAAAGGTAATTCCGGCCCACCACCCCAACCACACTCGCCGCAGGCTGTGACTTTGCGTGGTCGTTCTTTTACTTTTTCCTGGCCGTCGAAAGGGACAAAGGGAGCTTGTTTTCAGTTTGGCCATCGCAACGGATCTGGAATCCGACGTTTGGAGGTCAACCGGCCACCAGGCCGACGGCTCATTCCCAAGCACCGAAGGCCGCAAGCTCAAGCGAAGCTGCCAGGCGCAGCTCCCAGGCTGCACAGATTGAGAAGGGCGCGGAAGACCTGAAGCGGAAGATGGAGGACACCTTCCGTTGGTTCGATAGGGAGTCGTTTCAAGAGGAAAGGACACTCCGGGTTCTGCTGGTTCTAAGTTCTCGGTTGGTTTTGGGAATGAACCGTGGGATCCTCTAAAGTGAACAAGATATAGTTTACAGGTGTCATTCCCAATATTCCCGACTGAGAACCAGCAAGTTTTTGGCGTTGAAGGATGCAGTTGGAGCTATGTGTGTAAAGTTGTAATGTTTGCATGGTCTTATCAGTTGTGCTGCCTTGATTGCCCAATCATTTGAGAAGGAATGGCAATGGACCATGCATCCAGGTTGCTGAGCGATCCAACGGGGGATAATCTGGAGACTTCCTGTCGGCGCCGGCCCTGAATCGGCGTGTTGACCCAAAACCAAGCAATTCTAGGGGTGCGCTTTGAACCGTTTTTCGTGTTGAACAGATGTCCCATTTGGCGCTGTGTTTGATTTCGGGCGGCACATATGGGCTGGACACCTGAAAGAGGTCCTGAGCTTTGTGCCGAATCGCTTTCCGGGAAAGCGCAGGTCCTTTTTTTGGGGATGTGTTTGGTTTGAATTAGGAAAGCTCCAAACGACTCCAGATTCTTTGGGTTCCCTTTGTCTTGCCATTGTTTGGGGGAAGCGGACAGGTCTCCATCGGTTTTCCCCATTGACACACCAAGTTTGGGGCGAGGAGCAGCTTGAAGTTGAGCGCCGCCCGGAGCCATGGAACTCCGGCGGGGTTGGAGCAGCCGCGGGTTTGCCGCCTACCCCCTGGTTAAAATGGAAAACCGCCAGGGAGGGGGGGGGTTTTTGGGTTCTCCAAAAAAGGAGATCCCAAGAAAAGCGGACCAGGGGGATGGCGGAGTCTGAGGTGTGGGGGAAGAGCTGCGAATGCAGATCTCGGTGCTGCAGGCGGGACTCGATTGTTTTGTTGGAAGCTTCACGGTTTCCTTGTGGTGCTGAAGGGGATCCCATTAGAACAATGTTGTCTTGTTTTGGGCCGAGAACCCCTTTGGAGAACAACTTTGTGGTTTTTTTTTGCGGCCGACAGTCGTACTGCTTGCTGAGAATCTGTGGGGAGACTTTGCGGTTCACGTGTTGTGCAGTGGCCAGGCTTGTCAAATCAGCTTGATTCATCGAGACCCCGGCACGTGCATATGTTTTGTTTTCCTCTTTCCGCATGACACCCAGACCTGAAAAGTGAAGCGTTTCAATTTTAAGCCTAGCTGAAGGTGTGGTTCCCATTTGAGGTCCAGGAACGGCTACGCCGCGAGCCCTTGGTCCGTTTCCGAAGCTTGAAGCTTCAGGAGATCTACACGGAGGTCAACGACAAGCTGGAGATGTCGCAGATTGCGCAGCAGAAGATGCAGGTGCGGAGCTACTGCAATTGATTTGCATGTCCAAAACTCAAGAATGCGGGGACTGGGCTTCAGCAAACTTAGCAACCGGCTTGCCCTTACGTGCCTGTTTTTTTTGTAACAGTTTTTCCCCATTTTCATGTTCAGCCAGCAACAACCTTCCAAGTCTGGCAAAGATCTCTTCTGCGAGCGAACACATCGCTGTGATGGCTGTTTTGTGTCAGACACGTCAGAGGCTTCCCACCCGGGGAAATGGTGTGTGGAATCACCCTATCAACTTGCACTTGGCAACTCGGAGGGAAGTGATGCCATGGACACTTAGTCAGTGGAACCGCGGCATGTAGCTTGCCTCAACTACCCTGAAGGTGTTTGCAAAAACGAGCCGTGTCTACCAGACGGGTTGAACACCAAGACCTTACGAGTCGCATTGAAACAACCAGACCTATAAAAATCAAGAACGTGTTTAAGTGGTCCTTTTCTGAGGGAAGGGAAATTCGAGGGCCCACGTGTTGGGGGTTTCCCCATTTAGAGATGCTAACCCTGCGGACGAACATCCTTGCTGCCCATCTCTATGTGTGTTGGGCTGGACAAGGAGGTTCACAAGCCTCGCCTGGTTTTCGGCAGAAAAAGGATTTCGGAGTTTGACCATGGCGCATATAGAGATCCAAATGAGCTTAGAGCAGAATGCATGCCCCCAAATGCGTGGTTTCCGTTGGTTTCCCATTAAAACAACCCAACAAAAGGGGGTATGTCCCGGTACTGCCAAAGAAAGGTCACACCCACGAAAAGTATAGAATGGCGTCCCGAAACTTGACACACACCCAGATCAGGTTTTTGATCAACATTTTGCTGTGGCATGGGGGACTTTCCCACACAAGCTAAGGGTTTCTCCGCAAACTTTGGCCATGGCACATGTGGTTCGGGCAGAACATTCCCTTCCCGAGTTGTTTGTATGGAGCATCCAGATTTTCTGCTCAATGTGAACCCTTTGGGCGGGTTCCATGTCAGGGAGGGTAGAAATTCCGGCCGAAAGCCCAAACTCTTCCCCCCCCCCCCCCCACAACAAAACAAACAAAAACAGACACCCTCTCCCCCCTCTCCCTGAAACCTGCCCCGAAACCCTCCCCCCACCTCACCTCTCGCCCCACTTCCCTCCCCACACCCTCCCCCCAAACCCCACTTCCTCCCCACCTCTCACCTCACCTCTTGCCTCACCTCTCGCCTCACCTCGTCGTCGCTCTCAGCTCTCTGATCGCTCGTGGAGGCCAGCCGCAACGAGCTGCTCACCGAGGTGCAGAAGCTCGAGGAGCGGCTCATGCCGCTGGATGCGGATCGAGGGGGGGGGGGCTGGGTGGGAGGGGGGGGGGGTGGGGTGGGTGGGGTGGGTGGGTAGGGGGGTGGGTGGGTGGAAACCGGGGCGATGGGTTGTTGACACCATTTCGTTGGGTCTCTCTTAGGTTGGGGACACTTGTTTTTTTTAGTTATGGACGTTTCTTGACGTTTCCGGTTGGGTTTCTGGTTGGGTTTCTGTTCGGACAAACAGATGGAACCCTGGGACTTGCGTTGTTGGCCCGCCTTTCTTCCGAGCCAGACCGGGAAATTTCATGTGAGGGGACCCCTGGGGCGATTTCAAAAGGCAAGCCGCTGGGGAACCACTCGTTTTGAGTTGAGGCCAGGGCCGAGCGGGCTTGGCTCGTTCTTTGTTTGAAACCACCTCCATGTGTCAGGTAACCTAAATTGGTGGTTTGGATTGGTCACTTGGGGATTTGAACCCCGGCCGTTGCAAGCCAACACCAATTTGAGGTGGGCAAGATGCTCTGGACACCACGTTGTTGGCGGCCCCCATTTCCCAATTCTGAGCCGAGGCAAGCCGATGCTGAAAGCATCCAGCGGCAGGTTGACTTGGAGGGTGACATCAAGCAGAAAGAGGACTGCTTGCCCGGCGCAACAAGTTTTCAACCCCACGTGCCCACGTATTTTCCAAAATGGGTTTAGACAAACATGAGTGAACGCAGGGTTTTGGACTGCGGTTTCTGCCATTCTTGCTGTCCAATCATTGGCCAGGTCGATCAATTTGTAGAAGGCATTAGTTGACAGTGTCCACCGGCCGATTGTGACCAAAGTGGGGCATTGGTTAAAACATCCGGACCATGGATCCCATTTTGAGGAAAGCCAATAGAGGGGGTTTAAACTTTTTGAAACAATGGTGGTTTGATTGAGCATGTTTCATCAAGGGGTTGAATCGCCCCACCGGATTCTGAGGAGAAAATCGCCATGCTGGAGCGACAGAAAGATACCCTCAAGGAGAACTTGAGGCCTCTGCGGAGCAATGACCAAATTCACCGACATGTCCCCTTTGCAAAGGGAAGGACATTGGGCATGCTTTTCAAGTTGCCACTGTTTGGGTTATTTGTGAAAGGAGAGCGAAGAACCGCATAGACAGCGCCGGCCTTTGGGGCGAGAAAGGGTCGTCAAAAGTCTGAGGACATGAGGGAATCGAATCCCCACTGGTTTTAACACACGAGTCACGGTCAACATGACTTGTGGGTTCCATGTGAGCTGGACTGTGCCAACACCCCAAGTTATCCAGGAAGCGACGGGACCCAAACACATCGCCATTTGGAAGGTGCCTTTTGATCAAACTCCGTGCGCCCTCCAAAAAGAACGACACCCGCCTGGCGGCTCGGGCCTTCGGGCTGCGCCACTGCTGGTATTCCTTTGCCAGGCAGATGGGAAAGCAGGTGAAGGCGGGAGCTCACCGATCTCACCTATGGAGTCTGCTTGTGCAGGGCTCCTTAAAAGAAGTCATTTTGCCACCATTTGAAGCATGTGGCTTTTTCAACACCAAAATAAAGGGACACCACCATTTACAAGTTGCAATGTTCAGGTGTATAATGTAAGGATCCCTGTTACGTGACAAGTTCCTGTTGTTTTGGCTTGGCAATGGTCGCAAGCGGCCAAAAGATGGTTTGGACTCCCGACCGAGCGATGTGTGTATTTAACACTGTGATGACGTGAGTTGGACCCTTTTTGGAATGGCTCAAAGGGGTTGTGGGCATGAACATGTTGGAGATGAGTAGTTTTTTTTCAGGTGGTAGTGACAAAAAGGAGACCCTGTCTTGGACTTTCTGCAACTAGATGTTCAACTGTTGCCCCATTTTCCACCGTGACATCACCTGACGTGGGTAAGGAGCATGCAAGTCAAGGTGCTCCCCCCCCAAGTTGAGCGGGATTGGGTAAAGGCCCATGTCGGAGATGTTGAACGTGGTGCCCCTTGGGTGTGTCTTTTTTTCGAGGCTACCCCTTTTTTGTGTTGCAAGGGACGCACCCCCCTTGGCGATAAACCAATTCAAAGCCAAAAGGAGCCCCTGGTCAGTCAGCGGCAGGCAATCCGAAGATGGAAAAAAAATCTCTGACCCACGAAACGAGGAAAGCCAAGAAAGAAAAATGAAAAATCGAAGGCCCAAGGGTAGCCACGGCCAAGCTTTCCGGAGGCCGACCGTGAGGTGGCAGAAGCCAAGGACGGGCGAGCCTTCCATGTGCGTGTCGATGTGGCCTTGTGTGGCCATATGAGCGACAGAGCTGTGTGTGTGTACAAATATATATATATATATATACATATATATATATAATATATATATATATATGTCTCTGTGTGCATTTTGCTTGGTTTGAAGAGAAACCAACTCGACCCGCCAGGTCCCTTGTTTTGACACATCACTGATGATTGGGACTTTGGGCGATCTGACCTCTGTGGAACCTCTAAACCAAGTCAACTGGTTGGCTGCGAATCAATCCCAGACTTTTTCCATTTTTTCCCGGGGATCAACTGGAGCACTACCCCATGCCAAGCTCTTCCTAGAGAAAGCCCTACCTCGCCATTCCCATAAAATCTGACCGCTTGACTCTGTTGAAGTCCATGGATTCCGCCAGACTTTTTCAACTCGTTTGACCAACACATTTTGTATCTCGCCATGGCGTGGACCGCCTTCCTGGCGGCTCTGGCGATCGCGGGCGCCATGCGCCACCAAGAGCTGGAGAGTGGGTCGGCCTCAGCCGCCGTGCAGCTGAGGCAGATGCAGCTGGAGGCAGGGAAGACGTATTGCCCCGAACACACGTAGTGCAATTATCCCCCTAAGAAGCTCGAAGCCAACACAATGGTGTAGGACATGTGTCTATGTATACAGAGGCCGGCTATTCAACTGACAGGATCAACCTGTCCACCTGGTCGATTGAGGAACCCCAGAAAACAAAGCTTGAACACTGTATTTGCTCCAACCTCGCTGGTTTGGCGGCCTTTTCGTGGCATCTTGACGCTTTCTCAAACTCCGAAAAAAACTTGGGGGGCCCTTTCCTCGCCAGCGGTGATGATTTCCACCCAGGGACCCGAGAGAAATTGAGCATGTCAAGCACGTTGTAAACATGGTCAGGGCAACAGCCAAAGGGCAAACACAGGGTAACATGGTTGTTGGGAGCAAGCACGTAAGGAAGCAAGCACGTAAGGAAGCAAGCAAGCAAGCAAGCAAGCAAGCAAGCAAGCACGCACGCACGCACGCACGCACGCAAGCACGCAAGCAAGCAAGCAAGCAAGCAAGCAAGCAAGTGAACAAGCAAGCAAGCAAGCAAGCAAGCAAGCAAGCAAGCAAGCAAGCAAGCAAGCAAGCAAGCAAGCAAGCAAGCAAGCAAGCAAGCAAGCAAGCAAGCAAGCAAGCAAGCAAGCAAGCAAGCAAGCAAGCAAGCAAGCAAGCAAGCAAGCAAGCAAGCAAGCAAGCAAGCAAGCAAGCAAGCAAGCAAGCAAGCAAGCAAGCAAGCAAGCAAGCAAGCAAGCAAGCAAGCAAGCAAGCAAGCAAGCAAGCAAGCAAGCAAGCAAGCAAGCAAGCAAGCAGCAAGCAAGCAAGCAAGCAAGCAAGCAAGCAAGCAAGCAAGCAAGCAAGCAAGCAAGCAAGCAAGCAAGCAAGCAAGCAAGCAAGCAAGCAAGCAAGCAAGCAAGCAAGCAAGCAAGCAAGCAGCAAGCAAGCAAGCAAGCAAGCAAGCAAGCAAGCAAGCAAGCAAGCAAGCAAGCAAGCAAGCAAGCAAGCAAGCAAGCAAGCAAGCAAGCAAGCAAGCAAGCAAGCAAGCAAGCAAGCAAGCAAGCAAGCAAGCAAGCAAGCAAGCAAGCAAGCAAGCAAGCAAGCAAGCAAGCAAGCAAGCAAGCAAGCAAGCAAGCAAGCAAGCAAGCAAGCAAGCAAGCAAGCAAGCAAGCAAGCAAGCAAGCAAGCAAGCAAGCAAGCAAGCAAGCAAGCAAGCAAGCAAGCAAGCAAGCAAGCAAGCAAGCAAGCAAGCAAGCAAGCAAGCAAGCAAGCAAGCAAGCAAGCAAGCAAGCAAGCAAGCAAGCAAGCAAGCAAGCAAGCAAGCAAGCAAGCAAGCAAGCAAGCAAGCAAGCAAGCAAGCAAGCAAGCAAGCAAGCAAGCAAGCAAGCAAGCAAGCAAGCAAGCAAGCAAGCAAGCAAGCAAGCAAGCAAGCAAGCAAGCAAGCAAGCAAGCAAGCAAGCAAGCAAGCAAGCAAGCAAGCAAGCAAGCAAGCAAGCAAGCAAGCAAGCAAGTGAACAAGTACACAAGTAAACATGTGAACAAGTAACCATGCAAGCACGTAAGCAAGTAAGCAAGTAAGCAATAATCAAGTCAACAACACAATAAGTAAACAGGTAAACAAAACCAACAAGTAAACACGCAAACAAGCAACAGGTAAACAAGCAAATCAGTAAGCAAGTGAACAAGTAAACAAGTACACAAGTAAACAAATCAACATGTACACAAGCCAGCAAGTAAAAAAGAAAGGAAGTGCGCAAGCACACAAGTGCACAAGTAAACAAGTACAGAAGTAAATTCGCGCACAAGTAAACCAGAATCAATTACACAAGTGAACAAGTAAACAAGTAAACAAGTAAGCAAGCAAACAAGCAAACAAGTAAACAAGTAACAAGTAAGCAAGTAAGCAAGTAAACAAGTACACTCGTACACAAGTAAACAAGTACAGGGGTAAAGAAGTACATAAGTACAAAAGTACACAAGTACACAAGCAAACAAGTACACCCAAAACAAGTAAGCAAGTAAACAAGGAAGGACGTAAACAAGTATACAAGTGAAACAACAGAACAGATAAAGAAGTACAGAAGTAAACAAGGAAAGATTCAAGCAAGTACACAAGTAAACAAGTACAGATGTAAACAAGTACGCAGGTAAAGCACAGGTAAACAATCAAGCAAGTACACAAGTAAACACGTACACAAGTAAAGATCAACAACTACGCAAGTAAACAAGTGCACAAGTAAACAAGTAAGCAAGTACAGACGAAATCAAGTACACAAGTAAGCAAAGCAAACATGTGTGCAAGCAAGCAATTATACAAGTAAAGAAGTAAACAAGTACACAAAGAAAACAAGTACACAAGTAAACACGTGCGCAATTAAATAGGTAAACAAATGAACACGTAAAAGAGTGATTCAGTATACAAGTAAGCAAGTACACAAGTAAACAAGGAACGCAGTATACAAAAGAAGTAAACAAGTGCAGTAAACAAATACAAAAATGGAAGCAAAGAAGTGAGCAAGTGCACAAGAAAGCCAGTAAACAAGTAAACCCGTACACAATTAAACAAGCAAATAAGTACGCACGTAGCCAAGTAAACAAGTAACACAAGTACAACTGTAGACACGTACACAAGTAAAGAAGCAAACAAGTACGCAAGTGAACAATTGAAGAAGTAAGCCAGCACAGCAAACAAATACACAAGCAAATGAGTAAACGAGTTCACAAGCAAACAAAGTAAAGAAGAAAACAAGTACACCAGCAAACAAGTAAAGAAGTACAGAAGGAAAAAGGCAAGCAAGTACACAAGTAGACAAGTATACAAGCAAAAAAGTAAGAAGTAAAATGCACATACAAGTGAAGTCGTACACAGTAAAGAAGTAAACCCGTACACAGATGAAGAAGCAAACAGGTGCACAAGTAAACAAGCAAAGGCGTAAACAAGTACACAAGTAAACAAGTCTTGAAGTCAAGAAGGAACGAAGTAAACAAGTAAACAAGCCGACACTTAAGCAAGTAAACAATTTCAGAATTATACACGTGAACAAGTACACAAGTAAAACAAGGAAACAGACAAACAAGTGCACAAGTAGACACGTACACAACAAAAAAGAAGGATACCAGGCACGTACACAATTTTTGGAAGTAAACAAGTACGCAAGTAAGAACAAGTAAACCAATTTAGAGTAGACAAGTACGCGAGCAAGCAAGTAAACAAGTATACATTTGAACAAGTACAGAAGTAAACAAGTAAGCCAGTCAACAGGTACAGAAGTAGAACAGCAAGTAAAACATCGAACAAGTTCGCAAGCAAACAAGCACCAAGTAAACAAGTAGAAAAGTACACACGCAAACAGGCAAACAAGTACACAAGTAGAAGCAAAGAAGTAAACAAGTACACAAGTGCACAAGTAAACAAGCAAAGTAAACAAGTACACGGACACAAGAAACGAAGTAAACAAGTACAAAAGTAAACAAGTGAAGAAAGAAGTACAGGTGAAGAAGTACACAAGTAAAGATTTAAGCAAGGACACAAGTAAACAAGTAGACAAGTGAAGAAGTAAACAAGTGCACAAGTACAAGTAAAGACAAAAAGAGTAAACGTAAACTCGTGCACAAGCAAAGACGCAAGCACATACACAAGTAAAGAAGTCCACAAGTACACAAGTGCACAAGTACACAAGTACACAAGTACGCAAGTACGCAAGTACATAAGTACAAGCAAAGAAGTCAATAAGTAAACAAGCATAGAAGTAAACATGTACACAAGTGACCATATACACAAACAAAGGTATCAACAAGTACACAAGCAAACAAGTACACAAATACAGAACTAAGCAACACGCACACAAGCAAACAAGATAAGTAAGTATATACATAAATATATATATATATACAAATATACCAGGCGGAGGAGCTTCAGAACGCGGCCTGGTGGGTGAGGGACGGCGCCTTCGCCTACGCGCCCGGCGCTGGAGATCAGGATTCGGATTGGCCGGGTTTTCTTTTGGGAGGCTGGGGAAAACGGGGTTAAATTTGCCCTAGGTGGTTCGGATTGGTGGTTCTTGTGGGTAAAATGGAAACTGCCCACCAATCCAAACCGCCGAGAGGGAGCGTGCTAGAGCATTTTGAGGACCTGGGTCTTACAATAAAGCGGGATGTCTTAGGGCCAAGTCCCTCGGTCTCGGCCTCGTTTTTTTCTTCTTTCTTTTTTTTGTTCCCTTCTTTTTTTCTTCTTCTGTTTTTTTTCATCCTTTTTTCTTCTTCTTTGTTTTTGGGACCCCGCAGGACATCTCCAACTACTTCTACGCCCTTGGCGCGGCCTCCGCGAGCAAGGAGCTGCGCAAGCGCCGCGTGGGCGGCTCCGGGCGCGTGCACATCTTCCACCTGCCGCCAGGGCTCAGAGCGAAGGTTGGCTGGTTGGCATCTAGAGCGAAGCGTTGGCTCCAGGTTGT